GCTAATTTCAGATACTTGATTAATAGAGCCCTTAATTACCCTTTATCAGAGATTAACAGAATAAAGGAATTTAATTATATCTATAACTTAGCTTATCATTTCGGTTTTCCTTCTAATGTCATTAGTAAATTACATAATAAAATACAACAACAAAAAGATCCGTTATTCACTAAAACTGATAACATTTCCATTTATAAACCCATCTCTTTCAATCATATTACTATGGAGTCTAAACATATTTTCAAAAAATTTAATATAACCTTAGCCTTTTCTAACAATAATTCTCTTCTTAAGCTTCTATCCAATTATCATTATAAACAATTTGATGTTCTCAAGGAGAGTGGGGTGTATTCAATCGGATGCTCTAATTGTAACGGAATTTATGTGGGTCAAACTGGCCGTAGACTGGAAAACAGAATTAATGAACACAAAACCAAAATTCAATCAAATATTTACAAACATAGAGTTGAAACGGGACATAACATTAATTTTAATAATATTTCACTTATTCATAAATGCCAGAAAAGCTATAGACTTGATCTATTGGAATTATTAGAAATCCATAGACATAATAATAATAATAACTTTACTTTGCTTAATGACCAAATTCAGAATTTATACAAACCTATATTCACATACCTTCAATCTAAATAATTTACATTCTAATATTCTTTTTCTTTATGTTTTAAATTTTAAAATTTTTTTCACAGAGCGATTATTTCCCTCATCTTTTTCTCTTTTATTTTTATCTCTCTTATCCAGTTTAACATTTGCTCTGGCTTGATTTACTCAGTCTCGCCTCATCTCATCCCACCAACACATCTTTAATACGATCTTAAAGATTTATTCGAATTTCTAATTTTTTAACGTAAGTTTTTTCATTTTTATACTTCATTTTTTGATTTGGTCCTTCTAATAATTAAATTTTTATAAGGTTTTCATTTTTCCCCCTTTTTATTATTTTTAGATTCTACATTTTTAACGTCGCCATTTGTATTTTCAACTTCATCTTCATTTTGTTTATCCATCAGATAGCAAAATGCTTTACTTTCACCTGATTTCCAGTCTGCACCTTTTATAGCTTCATTGACTGTAAGTATTTTTCAGTTTTTTGAGATTTTTTCATTTTTCCTCATTTTCCTCGTGGTCAACTCTATTTAAAATTTAAATTTTCTCCATAAAAAGTTTTCCTTTTTGATTGTTTTGCCTCTAATTTTAGATTATTTTTGTTTGATTTAAGATTAGTTTATAGTTTTTTCGCGTTTTTTAAATAAATTCTTTGAACGTTTTATATTTTAACTTAACTTCTAACTTTTTTTCAACAAAATTTATTATTTATAAAATATATTTTTTATCGAGTTAACTTCACTTTATTATATTTATCACTTTTTGATTGTTATCTTATTTTTCGTACTCTTTATAGTTGTCGCTGATGATGGGGTAACCCGAAACTAGTACGACTTTATATTAATAAACGCAAGTTAGAAGTTTTTATATGGTTTTTATTTGATCATTATTCTTGCAACATGGATAACTCTTTTCATATACAACAGAGTTCACTCATCGTTAATTAACAGAATAGTATATCCCCGACACAACAATAGAAACAAGATAATCTCCCTTCCATTTGCGCCCTCCATACAGCATAAAATCACTCAAAAAGTTTAACATATCTACGGCGTTCTCTTCCAATAAGAAATTAGGTCATATGCTAACTAATAACAAACACCGTTTTGACAAGTCCGAGTTAAGTGGAGTATACAGGATCGAATGCGAAGATTGTGATCGGTTTTATATAGGACAGACAGGCAGGAACATCCAAACCAGGTTTAAGGAACATCTTAAATGTAAAAACTCCGCAATATACCAACACCTAAAAGAAAATAATCATAAAACCAGTCTCAATTGTACAAAAATACTAAAGAATATTAAAAAATCCAAACTTTTAGATTTATACGAGGAACTTCATATCTACAGAAAACAAACTTATTAACAACATAACGGATATCAACAATTTTAGATTCTTTATAAAATACATTTAATTTCTTCGCGCGCAAGTCTATTTTTCACAACGATAGGTTTTTATTCTTTGTTAAAAACCTGTATAGCACGCGTCCCATTCTTGTTCTTTAACTGTTGTACTTTCGCGTTTATACTTTTAGATCAACTGACATTCTTTGAACATTTTGTTAGTATTGTTTTTCGTCCTTTTCAAGTAAGTTACATAAACTCTGTTCATTAAGTTAAGTTTTATGTTTTTCAAATTCACTTGTAGTGGTTCGACCCTTTTGTTTTTTCTGAAGGATTTTTACATGTTCTTTGAGTGACCTTTTCTAATTTACTTCAATGAAATGATTTATATATATGTATACGATTTCCCGATTACTCATATGTGTACCACATTGACGGTAACTATTCCGTTTTTTGTATCAATTTTCATGCAATTTTTGTTTCAACGAAGGCAAGTTATCGCTTACTCTTGAAAATCCGAAAGTTCGACCTTTGAGAACCTCGTGAACAGGTACGAAGCAAAGTACAACATTTTTGTATTAAGATTTTCACTTCAGTATCAAACGGAGAATATCGCCACGTATAACTTTTACGCCAATTTATACACACATTTATCTATCACTAATGCATCATTGTATTAGGAATATAATACGGTTCCGTCATTGCAGGAGCCGTTATACAATAGTATGCAATGTAAATTATACTTAACGTGTACCTATATATAATACTAGTTTAAATGGCAGAAACCAGACGAATATTAGGAGAGTACCAGGCCAGGTTTAATGCTGGAGAATCAACAACTGACCAAATATTCAGGGTCAGACAAGTAAACTATCAGGTTGCGTTTGCCATTTTAAACAGATAACCAGTATAGGTGCGCCGATCATCTATAGATGATCCCAACCTGCATCTGTACAACATTCCATTTCTTTCCCTGAAGTTCTATAAGTTAGTTCCAAATTTATTGTTCCTTTTAAATACTTTAACACTCTTTTTGCGGCAATCCAATGACTCTCGTTATAATTTGTGTTAAATTGACTTAAGAAGTTAACGCTAAATGTAATATCTGGTCTTGTACCAATTGATGCATACATTAAACTTCCGATCAGACTTTGATATCTGATTACTTCAGGTTTTTGTAATTTTGAATTTGGGTCCATTGGTGTACTGACTGGTTTTGAGTTTTCCATACCAAATAGCTGTAGAACATCTTTTCTATACTTCTTTTGTGAAATTTTGATCGTTGTCTCCCCCTACACTTTGTATCACCCATAATTTTAATAATTCGGGATCTGAAAAACGGACTGTGAGACAAACAATTCAGTGTATTACGTACAAATATTTATTATCTTTTAATTGTCGACGGAATCAATCAAGAAGAATCAACAACTGAAAAAATATTCAGCGTCGGACAAGTAAACCAGAAACACTAGGAATACAAAATCAATGATTTTATTAAATATTTATAAGATGCGTTATCGTGATATCAATATTTTTATTTTGAATAAATCATTTAAACATAATTAATTTTTTAACATGTGTTGTGTTTTATGCTATTAATAACAATATGTAATTGGGTACTTAATTTGAAATAGAGTTCAAAAAAATTTCTTTTTGATGATTGTTACTAAAGAATTAATGAAGAGATAGGACTTCTTGAGTTCCTAAAAAAATATATTTAAATCGCTTTTCTGCTTTTAATTCAAATTATTTACATTTGCTGATGCAGTATAGGACATTTCACCAAATAAAGGAACTCGTATAGTGAGTGGTTGTTGGCTCAAACAAAGTAAAGTCAACACTTGTTTTCGTGTCACCACATCCGCATCATACCAGTTCAAATTATACACCACGTTCGCAACATTGTTACCCTAACAAAATAAAAATACATCAAACATTTTTGTTTTACATATTCAAAATAATTCATACCGCCGTAGTCATTTTTTGTCCAAATGTGTGACTTAAAAATAACCCAAACCAAGTTGTTACACCAACGGTAAAGCTTGTTATATCTTTTCTCTAAAAAAATAACATTTTATTAATTATATCATTACGTTTAATTAAAATTGAAACCAAAAGAAATGAAGTAGTGGAGATGATTGAAACACATACACCAAGCAGTTTTTGAGGTACAACTAATTTGATGTGCACTTTATTACTGAATTGAAACATCCTAAAATAAAAAAAAAATACTTATTTATGTACTAACACATTTTTTAAGGGTAAGATACCTGAATATTTCTTGATGATACGTGATAATAGGTTGGAGTATTCTAAAATTTCTTTCCTTATTTTTGGTTAATGTGATGTCATCCATCATCTGATTAAGTTTTTCAATACGTATAATCAATAATTCCAACGAATAACAATACATCACTACCGTAACGAATATAATAGTAAGTACTATCCTCATAATGAATGTTTGAAATAGTATTATTAATGTCATACTCCATGGTTTCAGATTAAATGGGAAATAATATTCCAATAGTAAACAATGTTTAGTTGTTTTAAATGTAGCGCAATTATCGTCCAACAGAGTAAGATATGCTATGAAGTATGCCCAAAGGTAGGTACCATAATTGATTATTTTTAATACATTTTTTATGTTTCTTTCAACAATTTCCAATCTTTGCGGAATATCAAAATGATTAAAGTCGCTTAATAATTTAATCATCTCAAACACTTGATTTCGATGTTGCAATGCTTGCATAGAACCAGACAAAAATAGAGCTGCGACCATAATAAATTGCAAATGAAATAAACATTTGTAAAAATTGGCCTGGTAATCTGAAAATAAAAAAAAATATTTCCATTCTTTAAACAGTTAGATAATTCTTACTCATAAATTCTTTTAGCGCAGGATATGCGCTGAAAGATATATTTAGAGCAACCAAAATTATTCCCCCGAGTCCTGCAAATCTTTGGTTGGTGGGCCAACTGTGGTATTTCTGCAAATATTTTTCGATAAGGTAAAAACCAAGGGTTCTCGACATTTTGTAGCAACTGCACTGACTGAATTGAACGAAGTAGCCAAGAAATAATATATATATAATGTTAGGAAAATATTAATACGCAGCTGCAAAAGTACATTCAAAAGATATTAAGATTAATTATTAAATGTGATGTACAATAAATGTTCTAACGTCGTTTACAAAGTTCATTTCAAGTTCATATTAAATGGATCTTTTGAAAAGTATTGAATAAAATTAAGATATAAGACTTTATAAAAAAAAATAATTGAAACATATTTTTTTTAATTTAGCTTAAGGAGGGAAACCACATTAGGAGGCTCATTTTCATTGATTTTTTAGGATTTTTTGGGTGGAAAGAATTGATTAGAATTTAATCAAATTTTGACACTATTTTGTTTATATTTCGAACAACTTTTGTGAATTTTTTTGAATAATTTTACAGAAAAATAACAAAGTTATTCACTGATGTCCGCTGGACGCAGTGATGCCAGATTAGGGATTTTATCCCTAGTTTTAGGGACAAATCCGACTAAAAGGGATAATGGGATTTTTGATTGATTTCTAGGGATTTTACTCAAGTATTCACATGTTGTTCGCCACCACGGTTATTGCTTATTTTAAACTATTTAATTATTAATCCGCAATAAACTCGTGCCGTCGGTGTACACATAATATAGAGTAGGATACATACCAAAATACAGTATGTAGAATACAGACATTCTGCGCTATCTAGTAAAGGGTAACAGAATGTTTAGTAAATTGATTTGAAGGCAGCTATTTGATTTACGATATCCGGAGAAGTAACATTGCGTTGCCCGAGGATTTACCGAATAAAGTTATTCTAAATAAAATTTAGTGCAGCGTTCAGTTTATGACTCGAGTTTATGACAGTTCACGTAACGGCAACTAGTAAATATGTGTATTGTTTGCGAAAAATGAGCTCTTCATCAGACGACTATGTTTAATTAACCTTAACAAAAGGCCTTTGTCCCTTAATGGTGAAGAATCCCCACAACCGTCAATGTCTCGCGATGATGACCGAACGCCAATTAAGAAGCTGAAATTACAGAAAGTGCGTCACAAGCTATCTAAACAGAAACAATACGCTCAAAAATTTAGACCAGAATGGAAGCAGCATCCTCATTTTAAGGGCTGGCTAACAGAACATCCATCCGGCGACAAGACCCTTTGCATGTGTACAGCATGCAATGCTGAATTGAAATGCGGCAAATCGGAATTGGTGCGGCACACTACGAGAGCTAAACACAAGAAAAATGTCGCCAAAGTGAGGGGTTTACAACCGGTTACTGCTTTATTTAATTTAAGTGCGTCAAATAAAAGCAAAGTGACAACTGCTGAAATTAAGTTAGCTAACCTTTTAGCGCATCATAACGTAGCATATCAGTTCGCCGATCATTTAATTCCAGTTTTGAAAGATTGTTTCCCTGATTCGAGTATTTTAAAGGACGTACAAAAACTGTTAATATAATCAAAAATGTAATCGCCCATAAAGAAACCGCTGATCTTTCTAAATTACTGGCAACAAAATACTTTAGTGTCTTGATTGATGAAAGCACCGATGTAGCTATTAATAAATTACTATGTATTGTAGTAAAGTACGTCGATGATTACGGCAAAATATGTGACAAGCTTCTACAGTTGATAACAATTGATGCGAGGGATTGTAGTGCCGAGAAACTATTTCTAGCATTCAGTAACTGCCTAACATCAAAAGGTATTTCTATCTCTAATGTGATAGGACTTTCTTCAGATAACGCCAGTGTCATGGTGGGAAAAAACAACTCTTTTATGACGCGCCTTCAAGCAGAAACAAAAACTCTTGTAGTTTTACCCTGCATATGTCATTCGTCTGCTTTAGTGGCAAGTAGAGCCTGCTCGAAATTGTCACGGACTCCAGAAGAATTTTTACGGAACATGGCTAGCTACTTTTCGGTGTCGGCAAAGAGAAGTGCACAGTTTTAAAGTTATGTTAAAGTTATCTGTTACTAGATGGCTTTGCATGCAACATGTAGTTGAGCGAGTTTTAGAAAATTGGGACGTTTTGATCGAATATTTCAGACTAGAGATGTTAGAGGAAAACTCGAAAGTCGTGGC